GGACAAACAGTCAACAAAGTGAAAGCAATAAGGTTAAAATAATTACAGTAAGGACAAACATAAAAAATGAGCTGCCAGGAAGAGCCGGTCAGAATAAATTCAGATTATAAGGGATTCATTATTGTAAGTTAGTTGAGAAGTAAGAATCATACTTAATCTCATCTCATTCACGCAACAACTATAATTAATTTATCTTTATCACAGCCTAATTACTAGTGTATGTAAAGTGGAGCGTTTCTCCTGTCGGTATGTGGTTAGACATCAGAAACATTCAGTCACGCAACCAATATGGAAAGTCTAACTTTTCCTGTTCTATACCCTCACGATATCAAATGTTTTTCTTAAAAAGAAAAACTGTTCTGGTTAAAGGAAATTAAGTACCAATTTGTTGTGCAATGCATTAGGTAGAGGGTAAAATAGCAGGACACTGAGGAGATACTTTGTATCCAATAGGAAGTCTATAGCATGATGTCAGTGGGTCGATCGTATCGTACGAGCAAGTGTTCCGAGAAAAACGCAGTAACCGAGGACCGGTTCGTTCACAATACTGGCATGGCAGGCACTAACAACTAGACAGAGCTAACTTTCTTTACTGTCTATCGAAGTTTACTTTAGAAAGTCTAGGGATATAAATTTTTATTTTAACAGCAATTAATTTTTCACGCCGATTTATCGGGCATACTAACAACCCGTATTTGTACTAAGATGCGTTTAGATGATGTGGATGTGATGAACCACAGCGCAACGGAGTGGCGTATCGAGGTTAACAAGTTTCTGATGAAGAGATGCGGTCAGTAATCCAGGCTGACAGGCGCGGCCGCCCCTGGACCATCACCTACGGGAAATATTGATCTTATTTGAGCTTGATTAACTCGGACGTTGTCGGCGTGCTAATAATATCCCCACTCTGGCACTGGTCCAGCCAGGCTTAATGGTACTTCGATGCACGACAGCTTTCAAAGGTGACATCGTTGCTTTCGACTAGAATTGATAACAACGTTAAATTTCAGCTCAATGTGTATCTCTTAACAAAAAATCTTACAATCAATATACAGTTTTTCACTGAAAGAAAAGATTTGCCAAAATCGATTGTTCTTTTCAATGTACGACGTAAAAGGGATAAGTACAGATCACAATAAAATTTCAAAAGTGGCTTAAAGAGGGGTTTTTACTCGACGACGTCGTAAATTCGTTGTAAATAAATCAAAGCGAAAATATGAATTAATCCTACATTCACAATAAATAATAAAATGAGGACGTACATTCATATAACGGAGAGTGCCGCCGTGGTCGCAGATACACTATCACGTAGACCCATTTCAAACATAAATCCCATAGCATTAGTCACCTTATCGCGGTAAGGGTATCTTCACGGAAAATGTACTAAAGAGGATAATGTTATGTAAAAATTTAATGTTGTACAAAGAGGGATGTACGTACGACATCCCTTTTTAGGATTCCGTAGTCCTGGCAAGGAACCCTTAGGGCGCTTTCAATTTATGCGTTTTTTGACGGCCTGCCCTTATAGTTTTGTCATGTCCGTCTGTCCGTCCCCGGTTTTGCTCGGAGAAAGTATATCGATGACGCCGACAAAATGGTAGAATAAAATTTTGAAAAATATTTTTTTCGGGTAGCTCCCCTACATGTAACCTGGGGATGTTTTTTTTTTCATCTTCTACATCATATCGTATGGAATATAGTGAATAGGTCCTTGAAAATTAGTTAGGGATTCCTAAGACTATTTTTCGATTAAGGGATCCCTTTGCGAAATAAAGGTATTACACTTAAATGTGCTAATTATTGTTCCAGCGTCCCCCTCCAAATGGGCTTGAAAAACCTGGAAAAATTCATGATAAAAGTGCTTTTAATGAACTTTTAAGGTAAACTATAACGGTTAAGATAGAATTGTTAGTTTAAGAGTAATAGTCGTTCAATTTCAATTGAAGAAAATTGCTTATCTATTGAAAATTGATTAGAACAAAAAATTAATAGTGACATAGATGAAGTTACTGTAGCGAAAACCTTGCATTGCAATAAAATCTAAAAAAAAAAAAAAAAACCACTATTAAATATCATTAGTTCCACAACGCTACCGCGAGTACCAACGGCAACGGCTTCTGAGTCTAGCGCTAACGTTCCGTTTATATAAAAAGTATATAAGCACTTGATAAGATCGGCGGTTATACCGCATCATCCCATTCTCAGGGTATGATCGCTTCAGATGAAGCTTTTAGTCAGTAAGAGTCTGACACAACCTTGCAGCAGGGTATCCATGAGGATTTCAATCCCGCTCTCCCGCCTGGGAGGAAACAAAAAACCGGCGGTTATAATTCGTATAAAAAAAAAATACCGAATAATTTTTAGTTTCGAGAACCAGTAAGACTTTTAGTTGAGATACCTAAAACAGAAATCGGTATCTCAACTATTGGTTTTTCTAATTTTCGATATAGAAAATAAAGACTCCTGCTCAAATATATTGTGGTAACTACAGGCAACTACGGAACCCTTGTAGCGCGTGGCACGACACGCACTTAGCCGGTTTTTGTACCTACTATAGCATTAACTCCAGTCACTTACATTACTGCATATATGCAACTTTTACAATTGCATTTAGTCTATGAAAGATCTATCTATCTATCTATCGGTAATGTATTTTGACTTTTACTACTAACGTATTTTTTTTATTTCACTGTCTGATGAAGAAGTAAGCTATTAATTTTCTGTCAATTTGTTATTACAAAGTAGCTAACTGCTTGGTGGCTAAGTATTTTGCAATAAGGATAACTTTTAATAACAACAGGTGAGGAAAATTAACAGGATATATTTAATAGATGCCAATACCTTGTATAAGAGTAATATATTGGTCATAGCATAACTCTTCTAAACTCAATCAATGCCAGTATTTTGTTTTTAACACATTTGCTGACAATCTCATTGTTTGGAGTCAGGTAACCCTACGTGAAAAATATGAATACCTGTAATTACTGAAACCGCACAATCCTGTAATGTCGAGAGTTTGAAAAGGGTGAGGAAATAACAGAGAACGCAGTTGATTGTAATCTCTGTCCTTAATGAATTTGACTTTCTATTAAACAAGTCTAAAAAAAAATTTTCTTTTTTCGTTTTAAATTTAAATTTAACCCAATTACAGGGTTGCTTACAGCACTTTATTATAAATCAACTCGCCGTGAATAAGACACCTTTGCGTGAGCACGATGTATTAAAAAAACAATGACACCTTTTTTAAATAGAATACGTCTATATCCGGTGCAGAAAAAAAATAATGACCTATCAATATGCCAGAAGTGAGTGAGGATTCACAGTACCGCACATTGTTCACCATATATGTACATAACATTGTCTTATTCGGTCTAAACAAGGTTCAAATTCGCTCAGATAAGAATAATGTATCTGAAAATTTGTTGTAAACAGATTTGTACGCTGAGCACGCGCCAGTCAAGCTTCAATGCCATGGCTACCATACAGAAATATCAAATACCTTAAACGTTACTTGTTTCATATGTTCCCATGCTCACCAATCATTTAACAAAATACTTTTGAACTCGTTTATTCGAATTTTGTATACTCTATTAAACGCATTTACTACCCCAATTATGAGCGTTTTACCATCTAATAATTACTGGTAGAAAACTATATTTGATAAGGTTAGTATTTTCACCCACTTGAAACTATTGTGTAGATTTTTATGTGTCAAATATATGTATAATAACAATACGAGCAAATAGTATCATAATACTACAAAACAAAAGCTCCTTAACGAATTCAAAATCTAAAGATCAAATGCTACTTTTATTGTTGATATTTATTTATCAGATGACTAAATTATGTCATTGGACAGACGTATGTCAGACAAGATCAAAGCATTATTGCCACATGCCAATTTTCTAAAATTAATATGCCATGCTCTGATGAACGTGGATGATTATTACAAGGGTTACGGTGATACTCGGGTAAATGTTGCTTTACGTGCGTTAAATTAGTATGACATGCTGTCATAGCAGTGTTAAAATCAATATATGTACATATATTTACAAAGCAAGATGATTAAAATTTGGAAATAAAAAGTATAACTTATGCCGAGTATTATTTGGTCAAATCCTTTAAGATATAGAATGATACGTAAGTATTTGTTTTTTATGTACCCTAATTGAAGTCCTTATTCCATTCCCGAAGTCAGGTTTAAAAAAAGATATAGTATTATTTGGTCAAATATATTTCATTACACCTTTGAACATACAAGATAGTTTTAGCACTTTTTTTTGTTTGTTATATACCAACCACCCTAATAAACGTCCTATCCCATTCCCGAAGTCGTGGGTTAAATTCCCTATGGGTCCACAAAGTAGAAAATTACATTTTCTGTCTGGTCCACATTGTTCCTGAAGGCTCACTTTATAAACGAAGTTTCGTGTATTTCCGATATGACATTATATTTTTTGGTACGAACAACAGATTATTTTAAAAACATTAATTCACACCGGGACTAAGTTTAACCAAAACTTTACGAGAAATGTGTTTATCCCAATTATCTTACCCTGCAACACATACCATTATTATTTATTGAATTAAGCAAAAATACGGATTAATGCAGAGTACAGACTTCCTGATTTGCATATTACCTATTTGGGTAGACGCCTTCGTTGCAGTGTTAAATTAATTATGAATACATTCTGAATTAATAGTATGATGAAAACAATAACAAAACTAACTGATAGTATAACAAGTAGATCATACTAGTCACTAAAGCTGTTTAGTGTGTGCTAAGTACATTATCATAATGTGATATGTAATACTGAGACATCCAGCGTTTCATTCATTACACTACTTGTTGATGAATAATTTTGATGTAATTTACAGACATGTAAAATGAGGTCATATTTTATGCTGATAACATCTGGCATTCATTGATTTACATACGAAGCTATACATGGACATTCGCATTCACATGCTGAGTGCCAAAAATTCAAAATGGTAAATACCAGTAGGGTTGGTGTTCCCGTATCGATGACATTGCCGTTACTCACCTGAAATAAAAAAGAAACAATGTTATCCAATTTATTTAACATCAAGATATTAGAATGAATTCTTTTAAAGACCTAAACCAATAAAAATGGAAACCTAAAACAGCTATTCAGAATTTAAGTCACAGGAGTAAATAGAGTTGTCAATCGTTTAACTTTATCAACCGCACTATAATCTAGGTTTCGATTCCCATTATAATAATTTTGCTTTCGGTCTCAATATTTGATGTTTATTTAAATTGTCTTTGAATAAAACAAAAAAACCTAAGACCATAATTTCGTTCTATAACTTTTGGTATATACAATACATACATGATCCGACAAAAACATTTCACTACAATTTTAGAATAATATTTATGTTTCTATTGTAAAATTCCTCTAATATAGTGATCAAAACCAGACATGTAAACCTTTATGAACTATGAGGCATTCCGAAAAACTAATGTTTATAAATGAAGCAGGCGGGTCTGTTTAATAACAGTATACAAATATGCTTCTAGAACCAAATGTTTGTATAAAAAATACATAATCTATCCCAGTAGCGAAGGCAAGTTAAGTAGGTGTTAAATATATTTGTTAGAAATTTAAAAAAAGGCTATCTTTAATTAAATGTGATTGTGAATTTATGAGTATTATTAAATGTACATTATTTTTGAACTCAACGGGTGAAAGCTTGAAAACAGATATAAGTAAGTGATAAGTATTTTAATTCGGTTTTTGTTTATGAATAAAGCAAAAAAACATAGTAGGTACGAATTTTAGTGTTGTATGAGTCATTCAATCAATATTCTCAATCACTCAAAATATATTTGGAATTATCGTTAAATGGGTTCGTGTATTGCGTACAAGATAGATGGTGCATTTCTGATGTTAGGTATTGGGTACTGCACAGGGAGCGTTCGGTCGGATCGGGCGGCAGACGCCTTCGTGCGAGCAGCGCGCCTGGCATCCGTCCAAATATTTTTCGTGTGCCAAACTTGGCTGGGATAACTCGCCCTATTCACCTGAATCGGTATACGGTTTGCCGATTGAGATACGAAATGCGCGCTGCAGTTTACACTTGAATCTTTAAACAATAACAGGCTATTGGAACACGGTTGTATTATGGTTTTTTGCTTGAAGAAAAACATTTCATTTAATTGATTTCTTGGATTGGATGTTGCTTAAATAATTATAATTTAAAAGCTTATCTGTTGTACAACATCATCTTGTTGCGAGTTAACCCGGGTTTCGTCTGATAATCTTGCTCGACTTTTTCAACAATGGTATCCATTTTATCCGTAACATGGCGACCAAAGCGACGAGCATCTTTGACATATAAAAATTACACATATTTCTATTTTTTTATTTGGAATTATCTTCTTTAAAATTTAAACTTTTTATTGATACCAAAACCAGCCAGATATAAATGGTATAACCAAAGAGGTTTTAGTACAAGTTCATACATACAATAATGAGAAAAGAATTTTTCCCCAACCTATTATATACTTATTTAAAATACTTACATTATCGTTTCCACAATTTAGTCAAGATTAAAATAAATCTTAGTAAAATAGCTGCAATTACGAAATTATGATTTATGACACATAACATCTAGCAATAGTAATAATGTCCACGATAATAAAGCATTATCATCTACCTAATAAACTAATTACAGCTAATAAGTGGAGTGTTATGTGGCTAAGGGTCAATTCGGCCCAGACGCGATAAAGAAGACGTCGTATTTAGGGGTCGCTTGCGACGTTGTCACGCAACGCAATAGATAATGATAGGGCCGTTGAAGATTCACTGGTTTAAAAAATATAGTTAACTGACATAGGATATATTGTCATAATTTTGTCGAAGAACACGGATAATAATGTGACTGTGTTTGTAAATGTTTTTGTTACATTGAAATTGGTCATAGCCACAACTCGTCCAAATGTCCCGAACTCAAAAGAAATATGTAATGTTTAATAGATTATAAACATTGAACTCGAGTTGGTAAATAATAAAAACTTAGGACAGATTCGTTTTTTAACCACCACACCCACGTATCAGAATCTATACTCCTGCCCGCCATACTTTTGCAATAGACGTGACATCATTATGTTAAAATAAAAATATCAAAAATTAGAAAACTAGGACAAGAAATATACCTATTACACAAGATGAAAATTATTTAACTTTATCGAATCAAGAATCATACCTAAGGTCTTTTAAATATCAAATATAATTTATGTATAAATTTCGACGCAAATAGTGAGCAAAAATCATGTTTTCCTTAATGTTTTATTCTAGTTACATCTACATTATAAACAAAATTATAGATAATGGGTCTTCATATGATAGGTAAATAATAGTTGTTTTTTTGTAATTCATGCCGAAAGCAAAGTTATCTCTGTTAACTAACATAATGCTGTACTTAAATGTCTCCTCGTGGCGCTTTACTTGAAAATGAGTTTGGCTGGCACGTAATAAGTACATCCACAATTTCCCGACTCACGTACAAGATTAATCGTGTACATTCCTCATCTACATAAGTAATGTATGCGTAGCGTTGTTACTTCCAGTCCAAACCTTCTGCTAACCGCTACAGTTTGGTAGGGCAACCGATTTGATCACAGAAGGTAAATGCAACATGCGTAGATCCGATGAACTCTGGAGTTCATCGTCATCAGCCTATTAATGCCCCCACTGCTGGGGCACAGGCCTTCCCTATGGATGGAATAGGGAGATTGGGCCATGACACACCACGCGAGCCCAGTGTGGATTGGTAACGACTGCAGATGCAGCCAAGACCAACGGCTTAACGTGCCTTCCGAAGCACGGAGGAGCTCGAGATAGTTAATTTTTGGTCACCCATCCAATGACCGACCACTGCGAAAGTTGCTTAACTTCAACGATCGCAGCCGAACGCGCTAACCACTTGCGACATCGAACTCAGGAGTTAAAACGGACAAAATCCGTTAAAGGAATGTAACATATCGATTAACATTGTAAATACTACAATACTAACTTGTGCACCATATTGTGAATTATCATATAAATGAACCTATTATTCAATATTCTGAGACTCGTTACTTTTGCCGAGTGTGGGTGTTAACCTTAGCAGGTTTACTTGTGGATTACATATAAAATGCCTGTATTATATGTTTTCTAAATACTATTAATCGTTAACGACCTCGCATTCGTTTTGTGGCAATATATAATGACCTAAGTTAAGAACGTATTAAGATGAAGCTGTGAGTGAGAACAATGGTCAGTAGTGCAATTCTGTAAAACCCATAATCTCATCTCACTGTGTGTGTCGGATCCGTTTTGCTTTCGCTCTCTAGGTTTCGCTTCACGGAATTTTCGCATTCTGTAACCAATTGTACAAGCAAGTGAAGCGAGATGTCATTTATATCCTAAGTAATTTGTAGTGTTACCATTTTAAAAGTTTTTGATAAATCGAGATATATCGACTTAGTTATTATGCGTGAAAAAAAGCAGGTAAATTTATTTTTTTAGATATATTTGTAGATATGAGGCTCAAGTCTAAAGTTTTAATGAATGTAAAGTTAAAATAGTCTTATTTTTAAAGTTTGGTAACTTGGCCGAATGAGGGCTTACTCTATGCACATCTCTGTAATCGAGTGAAAATCGACGCTAGCGCTACTAAGTGAGAGTGGCGGTTTAGTAAACTATCACAGGTGAGACCATATCATACCTAAATGGCTTTGACGTTTCAATGGCATTCTGTAACGAATTTCAGCGCTTGTTTACACCTCACATTAAAAACCGCACTCGAAAGTAACTGTCAAAATAAAAGTTACTCATTAGCTGCGGTAATAGAAGTGATTGTACGAAGTGAGTGTTTTTGTAGACTATTATCATCATAAAACAAGAGTAATTATTAAATTATTTATAATTACGTTGCTTTTGTTTATTTAAGTAATAATTCTTTAAAATTATGTCTATCTAGTATTTCAGATGACTCACTCTATTACTTGCTTTTTACTATAGAAAGCCCATGTATGATGTAGATTTGGCCAGAAGCCGCCTACAAGCCCAATTTCTGTGTAACCTTGAGTAATTTCATGTGAAGATGAATATGTGACTAAATAAAGATTTTTTCAACAATTGGAAAATGATTTAAAGTATTCATTTAGAAGAAACCAAGTGTAATGGAAAAGGATTATCCAATAGAATGAAGGTAAAGTACCTAATTGCATAACAAAAATAAAACCCAACCAAGAAACTTTTTATAACAATTATATAAGAATTTTTTTTTTTGTTTCAGATACTGTGTACACTTTCATTTGTGCAAATGGGAGTTACTAAGGATAATAGGGCAAAAAATTACACACATTTATCCCAACCATCAATATCAAGACTTGTAAATGAAATTGCCACCTTTTTAAGATTTTATGTCATCCAGACATAACAAAATGCATCACAATGCCAAGTGATAAAGAATTGGTAAGTAAACTTTAATTCACTACAATTAAACAAATACTTGGGCAAATAGGTGTACAAAAGATATAATAAAGTAGAACCCTCGGTATAAATATTACATATAATTCAAGTAGAACAGTGTTTCTTAGTTTTTTCAATCCTTTACTTTAATTATTTTAGAATATTTTATGTGGGTAATAAAATTTCTATTCGTAGTTTATTTAAATTATCTAATACTTAAGTAGTAAACAGAGCTAATCAGGACCACTTTTTATTTAATTAATTTTTAATGCCTTTACATTAAATATGGCGGTCTTAATGCCAGCATAGCATTCTCTACTAGTCAACCGGAAGGAACGAGAGTCAATAAACGACATTTAACTTTGGTTTAGACCAATTTACCTTTAAAAAAACTACTAGGTATATTTTTTTGGAGTTATTTTAATAAACTTTACCTTTGTTACAGATTTTTGGAGAAATTTAAAATGCCTGCAGCTGTTGGTAGTAAAGACTGTACCTTTATCACCATAATAAGACCAAAAGAACCTTTAGTAAAAAGCATAAGGCAACGGTGTTGTGTAAAC